TTTATTACGGATGGACCAGGTCTAGTCCAATCTAATAAATATTTTGGACTGGATTGGTCCAATTCACCGTCTTTTTGGTCCATCCAATCTGTCCGAATTGATTTTGGATTAAACGAGGCCCGGTCCAAAACCGGTCCATTGACACCCTTACCTGTGGTAGCATTTATTGAATAAATGCCCATAGCTCCAAATACTGCTTAGATCTAACTCTAACTCCAATTCTGTCCTTAGTGCTTTAATTTTAGGGCAAATTACATATAGGTACCCTATACTACCTTAAACTTTTAATTACAATGCTTGAGTACCTTGGACTTTTCAAAAATAGACGCATAGGTCCATCCGTTAATATTCTGTTAGTTAAATATTATATAATCCCAAAAATACCCTTATCCTGTGACGTTCTCACATGCACAACAAATAATATATTCAAATTTTCTGATGATGACATTCTCTAGTGATGATTTTACTTCGTAGAATAATTTAAAAAATTTACAATGAAAAAAATATTTTTGACATTATGCAATGTTTAACTAACAGAATGCTAATAGATAGATGCAAGTATCTATTTTTGAGAGTTCAAGGTACTCGAATATTACAATTGAAAGTTCATGATATGTATCTTTCATTACCCCCAAAGTACATGATACCTATATGTAATTTACCCTTAAATTTAAACTTGATCCTATGGTATGATGAAGATGAGGTCCACCGTCCACGTAGACTAGGGTGAAAATGTGTAGGGCTAGCAACTCGCAACTTCTTATTGTAGGTGTCCAGCATTCCGCCATCTAATATGTCTAGTTATCTACAACTTGTTATTTGGAACTATGTCTACCTCTATTGTTTTTCCCAACAAATTAAATGGAGATAAAACTGCAGACTTGTCAACTTCCTAACTGACACAAAACCTCATTTCAAATTTAGCCACAAATCATATACATATCTTTCTGTTCGGTCATTCGGTGCTCTATTTTTCCTTTATTTTCTGTTTTAAATAAAAAAGAAATAACCTCCTCTTTTTTTTTTTCTTTTTCTTAATATTTGGGCCAGAAAATTAGAGCAAACAATATTGGTTAATTATAAATTATAAATCAATAAGTCAATAGTTGAAAATCCCACAGATCCAAAGACGACCCGGTGTCTATCTTTCTATCTTGTGGATAGGACATGATAGTTGGTTCAAGTGTGGGTGAGATTGGCTCAACAACTCCACCCAACATCGTTATTGTGTGTGGTTTTTGTATACATGCAACATAATGGACATGATATTATATGACGAGATGTAGGTTGCTTATTTGCTTCGACAAACAACAATGGATCTCCCTCCCAGCTGGATGGCGAGAACCCTACTGCCTAACAAGGACAACCTCGACCACGCATGTAAAAGGCTAAAAGCTGAGACTGAGTTAGACATGGATTCCATGGTAATGGTGTAGACGTACGCTATGGTCTACTAACTAGTGCATGTCATGGGGATTTGAGGGTTGCTAAAATACTGATAAAAGAAAAGATAGCCAGCAAAAGGAACGGAAGTTGGGAAAGTTGCCTAAAATACTAAAAACAAAACAGAGGTTGAAGTTGCCCAGCAATTCACTTATCATTATTTTAATTTATGGATGTAAATGCCGTAAGGATAAGGCAAGTGGTTGTGGAATAAAGGACCTTTAGCTAAGACCTCTCCATTATAATAGAATAGAATAGAATAGAGTAGAGTAGTAAAAAACTTGTTAATTAATTATCAACTGTCGTCACCTCTCCATTCTCCATTCTCCATTCCAACCAAGGAATTTTAAGACTTTCTTCTTCTTTTTTATGATTTTACTTTACGTGTTAGGGGTGGCATTTTCAATTTTTCATTCATGAGAGCATATTGGCATCACAATCGTCTCAAAAAATTGTACGGTTAAGATGCTTTTAATGGGAAATCAAGTTCCCGATTCGTCGCCACGACCTCCTTAGATAATACGGCTGTGGGCCGGTGGCCCGTGGTTGTGGCCCAGATTAGAAGAATAGCAGAACCGGGGACGGGGAGATACAAGTGAGAATTGATTGACATTTAACACTTGGCTTGACCTTGACCTGTTCAGTTGAGAGATCAGAACGTTGAATGATTTGGCATTTGGGTAAAAAATTGGGTTGGGTGATATCTACTTAGTATGCCAATTCGAAGCTTTTCTTTTATACCGTTCTACCAAATGAAGCCTCAAGGAAAAGGGGGAGCATCCATCAATTTAAGGATAGTTATGCCCATCTGAAATTAAAAAGAAAACAAAATAATAATACTTTATTGTATAAAATAAACATTTAATTTAATTATTTATAAAATCTGAAATAATCAAATGGCTGTTCAAAGTTGACAGCATATATAAACTGGAAAACCAGGAGGAGGAAAAAAAAAGAATAAAATGAAAAGATGGCATTTTCATGAATCATGACCATAGAAGGGGTGTGGCTGACTGGCTGTACACGACTTAAACACGGGGTGGGAAATAAGGAAGCTTTGCTGCGTTACGTCAGCATTTCCAATTTTCTTTGTTCCCTTCCAACATGATTCTTTTACATGTTAGTAGCGTTAGCCATTAGTCGGGTCTTTTTTTTTTTTTTAAGAAGGGTAAGAGGGTTGACGGTTTGACGCCTAACTGCGGCCTTGGCTTCCCTTTCCTCAATTCCACCAACTAGGCAACTACAACCCCCGACATCTTTCTCCCTTTATTTACAAAAATGCTACATATGATATGATTGCGTTAGAAAGATGCTTTGAACTTACAATAACATAATTGTAAGTATAAATTTATAATAAGTGCTTTTGTAAGAGTAAGACAGAGCAAGGTTCTGTGTTAAGCAAGTTGCAAGGACATTCATTGAAAGCAAGATTTTAAAAATTGATCCCGAATCAAAACCGTTTTGATCATCGTTTTTGGGTCGATGATTCAACCATTCGATTTGAATGAATGACCCGTTTTCAACTTAAAAATAATTAAAATAAAATAATGGCAAAAGGATCCATGATTCAATCACCTGAATGAATGGGCGACCAACCAATTCAGTAATTTTTAGTCAAGAACCTGGTTTAGGATAAACCAATTACCCAAATGAATCCTGGGCTTAACAGTCTGACCACTCGGGTCAACGGGTTCGAAAACACTGGTAAGTTAGATTCCACGTCCAGCTTTTGGCTTCCACCATCTTATTTCACGTGGGAAATAATCCCACAATTAAGCTATAAAATTGAAAAGTGAAAACCACAACAATGTGGGATTGGCCCTGGAATGCGGGTCGCTGAAATCATTTCCCTCTTATTTATTTATCTGTAACAATTGAGAGTTCAAATCAGCCTCCTACAAGATTGCCCTCCACAATATCCCACGGTACATCCCTATCATGTATTGAGAACATCTTCTAATGATGATATTATTATTTCTGAGATTATCATCGGAAGATATTCCCAATATAATTTAGTGGGGGGTAGGGCTGTCCACGGGTCGAGTTGGRTTGGTTTATTGGTGCTTTTCCAACCGATTTGACCTGGTTGGTTTACCTAAAAATGAAACCGAAATCGACCCAATACTAAGTAAAACCGACCTAGTCGGTTTGAATCAGTTTGGGTCGGTTTTGTGAATGATTCTTTTGATGTGAATAGTAAAGGATTCAAGTTTTAAAAAGCAAAGACTGGATGCCTGAAAATTAGAAATGATTAGATGGATTAAAACTGATATTTTATATATAAGAAATTTTATATATAATATGTATATTTCTGAAATAAAGCTGAAATATATATATATATATATATATAATAAAACTGAAATATATCAGATATATATATATATATAATATCTGAAATATATTATATATAATATATATCTAAGTCGGTTCGGGTCGATTTGATTTTGGTTTTCACACATAAAAACCGAAATTGAACTGAATCATCGGTTTATGCTCTTTTATAACCCAAAACCGACCGATGCTAAAGAAAAACCAACTAACTCGAATTGAATCGGATCGGATTGATCGATTTGATCTATTTGGGTCTTGTTATGAACAGCATTAGTGGGGGGCTGATTTGGTCTCAACGATTGAAACCGTAAGCTCAGCATCTATATGCCTTAATTTTGGCGTCAGAGAAAAAAAAAACAAAAAACAAAAAGCGTATTTCCTTTTACTGAAACTTGATAATTTCATTGTTCACAATGTAACCTTCCACTGTTCCACGGTTCCGAACGCCCCGTGACAAACTCTAAATATAACCAACCACTCGAGGGATTGACCAGTTCACAAATCAAAAAAAAAAAAAAAACTGGCTGCTTTACTTCTCTCCCTTTTTTCACTAATTTTTTTCCTTCATTCTTTTTCCTCTCTTTTCTACTTTTGCTTTTTTATCCCTTTCTTTTATGGTACGATCATTTCATTATTTAGTTATTTAATGCTTTCTCATTATTACCACTGTACATGCATTTCAAAAAAGAAAAAGAATACCACTGTACATAGAGCTTCTGCAAGATTAAATGCCATCTTTCACCCTATTTTGGTAATATATATAGTCTACCCTTTTAGCAAATACTTTACTATAGCTTTAGAATAGGAATTAGGATCTGCTCCTCACACAGCGCCCATTACATTGACCTTACAATCACATCTCACCTTGTTGGGACCATCACCCATGAATAATGAATTTAAGGATTGGAAATGTTTTCGATGTGCGACTAAGATATGCTGCGAAATCGGTATGTGCGGCCAAGATATGCTGTGAGTTCGGTGTGAAACGCGCATTGTGAGAAATAGATCCGGATTCTCAGATTATACGCAGACTGGCAGATAAAGGAGGGAGTTTACATCTACGCCCCACATGCGCATCTCAACGTGCATTTTGGGAGTTGTTCCTAATACACGGTTGGATGTGTTGTAGGGCGTTCTATGGAGCGCAGATGTGAATTACGGGGGGGGGGGGGGGGATGAACACGGTATTTTCATCAAAATAAAGTCCAATAAATCCACTGCTGGACCGGTAGTGAGTAAAGAGAAACCAGGCAGAAATAGAAAGCCCGGGCACACCCTGCACTCTGCCTTCCCAGAATAAAATATTATTCAATCCCTCTCTCTCTCTCTCTCTCTTGCCTTTGACCGATTAAAATTGCCGGCAAGAACCGCCGAGACGGCGTTAAAAGGAAAGGATTGGCACTTCATCCATTACCCATTACCCTCTTAAACCGCTTCGTTATATCCCTCCCTCTCGTTCTCGGCCAATAAAAAGAGGAGAGTTTTCATTTTACCGTCCTGGACACAATCACGATTGATTTCTCCAACAACCGGACAATCGAAACTTTTCTGTCTCCTCGAACCCGTAAGTTGTTGCAATGAAATCATGATTTTTGCTTCCAAGAGGAAAAAAGGTTACATAGAAAAGTTTATTGTCGAAGTTCTCATCTGAGGGAATCTCCGACGACCCAATCGGAACCTACCAGTTGCCGAAATCATGGTTCCAACTAACCCATTTATTCTTGTGTTGGCGGTCGCCGGTGTCTTCTTCGTCCTTCGACTGGTTTTGTCTGGTACGGCTCTGTTATTTCTTTTAAAGAAATTGTGTCAATCGATAGAAGATCGGTGTCACGTCTATCAGTTCTACAAAGTTCCCGAATTCAACCAAAGCTACCAAGAGAACCAGCTTTACAGAAAAGTTTCCACCTATTTAAGTTCATTAGCCTCAATAGAAGATTCCCATTTCGCCAATCTCTTCTCCGGGAAAAAGTCAAACGAGATTGCTCTCCAACTCGATTCCAATCAGACCGTCCAGGACATTTTTCTCGGCGCCAGAGTTTCGTGGAGGAGCGAAGAAAAGCGCGAAGGGAACAACACCATTTGCAGAACCTTTGTTTTGAAGATCAGAAAGGAAGACAAGCGCCGAATTCTCCGTCCTTATCTCCAACACATCCACTCGGTCTCCGATGAGATCGAGCAGCGGAGAAAAGAGGTGAAGCTCTACACGAACACGGAAACAGAGCATCGTCATGGACGGTGGAGTTGCGTCCCATTTACTCATCCATCGACTCTCGACACCGTCGCCATGGATTCCGATATCAAAAATAAGGTCAAGTCCGATCTCGAATCGTTCCTCAAATCAAAGCAGTACTATCACCGACTCGGTCGAGTCTGGAAGCGAAGCTATCTGCTGTATGGACCGTCGGGTACAGGAAAATCGAGTTTCGTTGCCGCCATGGCGAAGTTTCTCTGCTACGACGTTTACGATGTTGACCTCACGAAAGTCTCCGACGATTCGGACCTGAAAATTCTCCTATTACAGACCACCATCAGATCGATCATTGTCATTGAAGATCTCGACCGATTCCTTAGCGAAAAATCAACGTCGGTGAGTTTGTCCGGGGTTCTGAACTTCATGGACGGGATATTCTCGTGTTGCGGGGAGGAGCGGGTGATGGTCTTCACCATGACCAGCAAAGATCACATCGAACCTGCCGTCTTGAGGCCCGGAAGGATTGACGTTCACATTTATTTCCCTCTATGTGACTTCTCAGCGTTCAAGACTCTGGCCAACAGTTATTTGGGACTGAAGGATCACAAGTTGTTCCCTCAAGTGGAAGAGATCTTCCAGGGTGGAGCAACTCTTAGCCCGGCCGAGATCGGAGAAATCATGATCGTGAATCGGAGCTCGCCGAGTCGGGCGTTGAAATCGGTGATCACCGCGTTGCAAACCAACGGCGAGGGAAGAGGAGGGTCCATGAAGGTTGGGAGGCGGTTGAGCGAGAACGCGTCGGTAAACGGACGGCCGGCCGATGAGTCGGGCGGAGTGATCTGCAGGGAGAGTGTTCACACGGTGAGAGAATTCCGTAAATTGTATGGTCTGTTGAGAATCAAGAGCAGCAGAAAGTCAGGCTCAGGACCCTTCGACCTGGGGTCGGGGGAGAAGGAAGGCTGACATGGCAAAGGGTGGAGTGCCACGTTTCAATAACCCATACGTGTGGGTTTTGGCGCGTGTGACTGCACGAGTCCGCTTAGATATTCCGGTGCCAGGCCCAGGTTCTTTGCTGTGTTTTTTTGCCCTCCGATTACTCTGATGATTTTTTTTCTTTTTTTTCTTCTCGGGCGGGGTTTAACTTTGAGATTTTCATTAGCTGGATTGCTCCTCTACTAGGCTCAAGTTTGACAAGAGTGCAAATACAAATATGTTGGGTGCGAAACAAACATTGTATTTGCAATGTACGTATTTGTGTTTGCACTCTTCCCAGATTGCCTAGACCTAAACCCAAATACTCAAATGCCCTGTAAATGAAATGAAATGAAATGATGGCAATGTTAACCTTTGATAGTATCCTCTTTACGTGTTAATTAATTAATTTTGTAAAGAAAAGCAATGTTTCTAAAGAAGCATACACTTTGATTTTTCTTTCATCAGTGGTTCCTCGACGACCATACTGAATTTTGTCTTGTAATATATAGGTTTGGGATTGGGAGATGATATGATGTGAATGGAGCCCATATTCGATCGCCACACATTAGGTGGAAGCAAAGCATATATACTCCTGCTTAATGGGACAGTTAGGAGTTAGTAACTTAGTACAGAAACCCTTTCGTTCGTATGCACGTTAGTTAGCTGGCTTGGGCCCAAAAATAACTCAATTTGATGTTGATGATGATGTCTTTATCATATGCCAAATTCTTTTTTATTCTTTAAAAAGACTTGTACAGTGAGTGGAGAGGGGACTGGGTGCGTGGTGCACATCCGGTCCGTGCTTACCCTAAATAAATAATATTATATAATTCAGGCAAGGCAACATCAGATCGGAGTGGGAGCGATGTGAGCCGAGGTTGCAGTAAGTAATTAAAATCTCGGCTTCCAAGGGAAGAAAGAAGGAGCTGCTCCGTCACCATGGCCTTGGCATTGGCCTTGAGACTTGAGTGGTAGTTTTCAGTTTTCCGGTGGTTTGTATGGATATGGATTGTGCAGCTAGGGCGTATTTTGTTTATCTCCACACTCCCGATTATTGCTGGGGAAAAGATGCAAAAAGAGACTACTTACTTGTTGGAGGTTAGTTGCAGTAGAATGTGGTGGCCGTGGGCCTACTCCAGATGATGATGATGATTGATGAGGGCGGATTTGGCCCTCCAATGGCATTGTGACACCTGGCACCTCATGCCAACTAAGTGCAGCCCCTTGATAGTTAGACAGTTCGAGTTCGTCACTATGCAGCACTTCACAGACAGCTCGCCATGCAACACTTCGCAGGCAACTCGCCATCATGCAGCACTCACAGACAGCTCGCCACTAGGCAACTCACCATCTTGTAGTCTGGCACCTCAGAACAACTAGGCGACACCCGGGACCACTTTGACAACAACTTGCCTTTGCTAAGTTGATGGTGTCCCACCAGGCGCAGCCTGGCACGAGTTGGTAGCCTGGCCCTAACACGAGTTGGCAGCCTGGCCCTAGCACGACCTGGCCCTGGCACGAGCTGGCAGCCTGACCCTGGCACGAGCTGGCGGCCTGACACAGGCGCCAACCTAACAACATCGAGGAACACACCTCCGTACCCCGCATTTTACGGGATTGTGACTTGTAACGGCTATATTAGCTCACCCACTCCCCAGTTTTGATAGGAAGGGACAGTTTTACCATTTGATGACATTTCACCCACCTAACACGCAAGCCAGTCCCATCACAACTTGGATCCAGGAATTGCTCCACCTAACCCATGAGGACTCCAGTATATAAAGACCTCACCCCCTAGGGGCGAAGGTATGCTGCAAAAAGGGATGGGTAACCTCTGCTCTCTAGCTCTCTCATTCTCTTATCATCTTCAAGCTCTCTACTACTATACTGCGTTAACTTAGCCATCGGAGTAACCTCACCGGGTAAACACCCCTGGGTTCTCTGATTTGGTTCTCGTAGGTCCCTCAGCTCCCACCGCTTACAAAGATGAGCAAACCATCGCCAGCAGGTAGTAGCCAGTTCAATTCCCGTCATTACTGGTAGCCAGATCACCTCCTACCGGTAGCAGTCTGATTTTACTACACTAGGGAGATCGTCATCAAGGTAGCTCACCTCTAGGCAGCTCATCACGGTAATTCACCTCTAGGCAGCTCATCAAGGTAGCTCACCTCCAGGTAGTTCATCAAGGTAGCTCACCTCCAAGTAGCTCATCAAGGTAGTTCACCACCAGGCAGTTCGCCACCAGGGAGCTCCACTTCAGCCTCTGAGTCACCAACCACATGGGAGCATACGAGATGACGAGGTACTTAGCCAAAAAACTGACACATCACAAAAAAATGATACGTGACCGAACCGGTTACATCATTTGGCGCCATTTGTGGGAACACACTACAAAAAACTAATTTCTCATCCTACAAAAGCTAAGTTCTTATCTTACAAAAAGGCTAGGTCCTCTTCTCCCTGAAAGTTAAGTCCTCCCCTTTTTAGAAACTGAAGCTCTCGCTTTATAGAAGACCCAGTCGCCTCTACGGCATGGGCAAAAGTTTAGGAGCGGACTACGGGTCCCTCCCAAAGCCTAAGGGCCACAAGAAGACCCAATTGCCGCTTCGGCGTGGCTGAAATTCAGGAGCAGACTACGGGTCCCTCCCAAAGCCTATGGGCCACAAGAAGACCTAGTTGCCACTTTGGCATGGGCGAACATCAGGAGCGGACTACGGGTCCCTCCCAAAGCCTAAGGGCCACAAGAAGACCCAGTCGCCTCTACGGTATGGGCAAAAGTTCAAGAGCGGACTACGGGTCCCTCTCAAAGCCTAAGGGCCATAAGAAGACCTAGTTGCCTCTAAGACATGGGTAAAAGTTTAGAAGCAGACTACGGGTCCCTCCCAAAAAGCCAAAGGGCCGAAAATGCCGAACTGACAAAGACCTAGGCACTGCATAAGACCTGGATACCTTGCCGGCATAAGCAAACTACTTCAAACACCTAAGGTAAAGACAGCTCTGGTATAAACCCTACGATGTCTATTTCACCTCGGTTACCCTTACTCGCTGCCAAGATCGGTAACTCAATAGTTCAGGGTAACCTATGCAGTTCAGAGCAAACGCAATTTATTCTTTTAGTAATCCCTAATTGCCAACTCGGTAGCTCGGGTAACCTATATTTTAAAATTGCCCAGCTCGGAACTCACTCACACTTGGAATTATTTTGCACTCAGAATTACTCAGAAAACTCTATATTTCATTAACAAAAAAGGTTCAAGTACATGAATTTTACTAAAACCCGAGCTCAACGGCCCGGGAGAATACATCCACAGTTCAAAGAAGAAAAAGATGAAGAACAAGAAGCCATCACACAGAAGGGTCCACCACTTCGATATCTTCATCACTCTCCTCCCCGGGAGAGTCGGGCTCCTCATCCGCCGCCTTGGCCACCTTAGGGTCTAAGCCGGTCATCGAAATACCGCCAAGGTCGAGGTCGGGGAATTTCTGCCAAACCAAGTACCGACACAACTTGAATCCAGATCGATAGGAGTCTGAGCCGTATTCGACCTGTAGGGCCTCGAACTTCGGAGACTCTTTGAAGCTCTCGACGGTCTTGTTCCTTTCTTCCGCAATGGAGGCCTCGAGGTTCACGATCTCTTGCTCAAGCTGTGCCTTCTCCTCAGCTAGCAAGGAGATCTGCCCTTCCTGGGTCAAGATCAACTCCTTCTAGGCCTCAGCCCCCTTCTTCGCTCTGAGCACCTCACCCCGAGTCAGGTCCAGCTCATGGTGGAGTCTCTGCACCTCAGCCCTAGCCTCGCAAGCTTCCTTTATGCGGATCGCCAATTGGCAGGCCAGCGTGTGGCCAACAGAGTTAGCCTATAAAAAAAAACTGAGGTCGATAAAAAAAAAAAAAGAAAGGGGGACAGAGGGGAAGAGAAAAGTGGAACGTGTTATGGGCCTGTGTGTAGGATCTCGTCACGGGTCGGTCCACGGGGAGAAAGCCCTGCTTTCCCTTGCGCCTTCCCTTGCGTGCAGACCGTATTGTGGAAAACCGAATGGGTGATTTGTCCAAGAGACCACCCAAACTCTCCGAATGGGTGATTTGTCCAAGAGACCACCAGAACTCTCCTCACTCTTTTCTTGACTGGAAAACTGAATGCCTTTATTTCAATTCGTAGCTCCTTAAATAGGAGATTACAGAAGGAAATTCCTTGTTGGATTCGGCTAGGCTAGGGTAATCCAACTTAAACTCAAACTCCTAATTACCTACTCCTAATGGTAACACAACTCTTACTTAAGAAGATAAAATAAGATAAGGATAAGGGATAAGGGATAAGGAATGGTGAAGCTGGCGGCGAGTTGGTGAGCAGAGCTGATGTGGTAGGATAAGTGTGGACCCACCCTGATGAGCTGTCGTGTGGGCCCCGCCCTATTGCTGCTGTCGGGCGGTGCGCACGTCTCGCAGTGTTGTTGCCGTGAGGTGCATGCTGCTGCCGTGCGGTGCGTTCTGCTGTCTAGTGCTGCTACTGTGCGATGCGTGCTGTTGTCTAGTGCTGCTGCTGTGCGGTGCGTGCTGTTGGGTGGCCCGCTGTGCGTGTTGCTGTCTATGACTGCGCCGCAGTGCGCTGTCGGGCGGTGTGTCCATAACATCACACCCCTCATGGACTACGAGCTTGTCCTCAAGCTCGAATTGGGTGTCGAAAACACCCTCAAAGGAATCCTGGATAGGTGGAATGGCTTTGCCCTCCTGGATCGGGTTCCCATGAAGGGGGTTCACCTTCATTTTCCTCTTGTTTCACCAGGAGGCAGAAAGTCCCTTGCACTTGTGCCCTGCTGAGTAGAGTTCATCGCAATTAAAACACTGCCCCCTCGCCCTGCGTTCTGCCATCTCAGCCCTGGACAAGTGCTTAATGGGGGGTGTAACGACACTGCTCCCTGCATTGGATGCCGATCTGGCATTGGTGCTTGTCTGTGGCTTCCGTTCTTGGCTGACTGCTGAGTATGGAGCCACTCTAACTGGTTCCGGGGATGCCCATGCTGATGGAGGCCGTCCCATACTAACGGTTCCGTGGCTGAGCTGTAGTTTGTGTTCGAAGGTGCGTGCTAGGTTCATGGCTGTGACCAGGTTGGGAGGGTGTTGCATCTCCACGTCCACCCTTAGGGGTTCTGCTAGCCTCGCGATGAACATGTTGACTTGCTAATCTGCGTGAACCGAGGTTGCTCTGGTGAGAAGGGTTTGGAACTAGCRTTGGCATTCTGCCACGGTTCCAGTTTGCTTGAGGTTGACTAACTCGCCCAGTGGGTTGCTTGTCAACGGTGGTCCGAACCTGAGGAGACAATATGACTTGAACTTATCCCATCTAAGTCCTAGTTCCTCCTGTTCCACTTGGTAGAACCAGAGCTGACCTTATTCTTCTCCTCCGTATGCTGATTACAGAAGAATTGCTCGTAGCGGTACAGCCATCACAGTGGGTCGCCGCTG